CATTAGTACTAGTACTAACTAGTTGTACTCGTGGTAGTTCGTCGCAGTGGGAGCAGGAGCAGGAGAACGAGGTGGCGCAGGAGGAATAGCAGTAGCAGTAGTAGTAGTAGTAGTAGTAGTAGTAGTAGTAGTATGATGTAGCCAGTGTGGTGTTCTTACTGAGCAGTTCTGCGAACTTATTCGCAGCCCCGCCCTTCGCCTCCGCAGCCACAACACTGTCAGAAGACGGAGCCGTCATCTTCCCACACCAGAACGCAAAAGACCTGCGAAGAACACAATACTTTTGCGTCATTCGAAGCCCGACGTCTTCATCCCTGGGAACAAGGACAAATTCGTTGCTCGTGTGGTTGCTGCAGGGGCCTCAGCATTGCCTACTTGAAGCTTCCCGTGCGTTGGCGTTCGGCATCAGTCGGCTTCTAATTAGCCCAGATCGGTCCAATTAGGCTTGAAGCTATTCAAGCATATCTGAGATACCTGGTTGCGCATACCCGTGAGCTATTAAGGCATACGCGGTGCTCGGGTGCCTGAGTAGAGACTCCATGCAGTGTTAAAACACGAGTTGTGTTGTCCTGAGGCTCGTTTTGAGGGACTCGCCCACTCCCTGAGGGCTCCGATCTAGAGGATTCAATTGCTCGTGTTTGGGGCCAAGGTTCGGATGCGGGAGCGCGCTGTAGAAAATTGGGGTGATGTGCAGCTCCTGCCTTTCTTCGTAGTTGCTGGGTTGTCAAGGTGTTGCGGGCCCTCTTGGCAGTTTATGTCTAGTGTTTGTGGGGTTGCCCGGCTTCAGAGATCAGGGCCTAGGAACCATCAACCGCGATAGAGACAGAGGTGGCCCACGACTGTGACCTGGCATTGTTGGAGGCGGGAGCCATGTAGTGGAAGAAGAGTGATGAAGAGTGCAAGCGTCAGAAGGAGGAGCTTGCCAAGCAGGCTTGGGCCTAGTGAGTCCTGCGGTCACTCAACAGGGCTGTGACTAATTTCCATAGCCTCTTCTCTTGTTCAACTCAGGTACTGGCGGTATGACAGTTACTACCAGCAGGAGCGTTTGCAGTTCCTGCATGATGAACATGAGAGTTCTTGTGATAATAATGATGATGGTGGTGATGATGCCTCGTCCTTTTGCTCACAGTTGTATTTGCTCATTTTTCTGGTGCTGGTGCCGGTGCCGCGCTGGCGCTGCTACTGCTCTCGCTGCTGCTGTAGCTAGCTACTAGAGATGAAACGACACACACGCACACAGATACATATACATGACATAAGTGCAACGCCCCATCCCACGGCTGCATGCAAGACACGGCCACTTAGACCATCAATAGCTCAGAGTCGAGTGACCCTACATGGCAAGCAGGCACTTTTGTCAGGACTGCATATCTTTTTGTAGACACCAGGATATAGAGATACATTGAAGAACACAATTCTAGTCTTTTATGGTAAAATACCGTAGTAATCTGAAGTATACTATACGGTCCGCAAATCCAAATCGGCCCTTCGCAGGTGGTCGACAGCCGCTGTTTCGAAGGCCGCCGGTCCGAATTTTCGGTGATTTAGGCCGATGCTTTTGAGTGAAGTGCCCGAATCCCAAGAGACGGCAAAGATCAAGGACAGTGCCGCACCCAAGGCTCGAAATCCAAACGGCCGTAACTTTCCCAAACCGAATCGAAGTCTTCCAGGTGCCACGCCGATGCCCCTGATGAAGCCACAGGAGATGCTGCCAATGCAAGCACGCGTCCAGGCCAGCTTTGGTCGGGAACCTAAGAGCACCTAAGCATAAACTACTGGATCCTGGCACAATTCTAGGGGCATGGTCTTCAAAGGTGTATGTTTAAGTGCTTTTGATTTCCTAAGTTTGGATTGGGCAGAAATAATGCTACCTCGGAGCCGGAGCCAGGCTAGAATCTTGAATCCATGGAGAAAGCCTTAAAACCCTAAGCCTGAAAGAACCAAAACCGTGGGTGTCTGAAGAATCAGCACCAGGATCGCCTTCTAGTCCCTTTAGTTACAAGTATACCTAGGATCCACCACGAAAGCTGGTTAAACATTCTTACTCCAGGCTCCAGTACACTATACAATATCAGTAATATCCAGCATACGATAGTACATCCTAGGACCTAGGATTACCGCCCCTATCCTAGGCCGAAGTTAGAAGTGAAACCCATGAGAGGGTCCCCGGTAAAATTGAAGGTGCCCCTACTCAGGCAGCTATTCTTGCCGCACCGTCGAAACGACTTGAACAACGACAAAGTAGAAATCAGGGTTTAGTTAGGGTGTAGGATTTAGGCTACGACAAAGTTCCTGACTCTTCTCTTGGACCGAAAAGCGATAGGTCCAAGCTCTGTTTACCGGAAGGCTGAAACCCGTAAGCCTTAGGCCTTGGAGCCCTAAACCTGTCTCCGTTAAGGTTTAGGGTTTGGAATGCCCTTAAGCTGAACCCAGTTAGAGCCCTCGACATACCATCCTGAAACCCTCGTACCAGAGCAGGTGATGGGCTTCCCCATCGGTGGAGACTACCTCAGCATCACGGAGGGCGTTCTCTCAAGAATAGAGGTGGGCGATTTTTTAGAGTTTCGGGTGCAGGGTTTGGGGAGGAACTTGCCCCTAAGCCCTGAACGTAGCCTTAAACGATCGGGAGCTCGAGTTTCGAGTTTGGTGTTTAGCGGAGAGTTACCCTACTGCCCAAGTGCAAAACAATTTCTACGGTAGCCTTCTATAGGTTCGTATGGTAGTTGGTGGGGCTTTGTTTTGCAGGCATGTTGAAGGGTTTGCAATCATCTAATCCCCAAGTACTACCGTACATTCGGTTTAAGCTGAAGGGCTTTTCGACTACTACATATTTCTACTATCCGATACCCAAATACAGAATTACAAGCCTTGGATCCTTAGAGTCAGGGAGACTTCTGTCGGTCGGTGATTCGAGCGTGCACGTGCTATCGCTCTGTTTGCATGACCTGAAATCTGCCTTTAGGGTTCAGGCTTTGGGGATAGTATAGGGGCCTGCATATTTGGATATATTAGAATAGATTTTTTGGGTATATTAATATATAAGACGATAACTAAAATCAGGAACCCTCAAAATAATGCTGGCAATCAGTAAGGCCCCTATAATTACCCATAGGCCCCATAGTAGTTCCTTTTCGGGATTCCCAAATAGGATCCTAAATATAAGCCGCAAAAAGGAACTACTATGGGGCCTATGTGTAGGCAGAAGGCAGAAGGCTCGGGAACTAGGCCGAGGAAGCAGCAGTTGGAGAGGGCGGCACACGGTGAAAATGAGGCGTTCGTATCATGAGCACCATTATGGGAGTTTCCGAAAATAAGGGGTACTTCATTTTGGGTCCTTATAATAAGGATCCTACTATTCAGGGTACTATATTAGGGTCCGCTATTTTCGGAAACTCCCTTATGCTGTGACACAGCTTGCTTAGGCAACTTGTGCTTTGGTCGATCAGGCTGATTAAGCATCCTCTTTGCTGCTGCACATGAAAGTCGGGCCCCTCCCCCACGGTAGGTGGTGGACTACTCGCACAGCCGTCGCTCCTGCCACATCCTCAGTGTGTGCATCGCACTCTTTTAGCCTCAAGTGCGTCTGCTTTCCGATCATCTCTAGAGTTTTCTGCGAAGCCGGAGTTCTGACGAACGGGCCGGCACGATGGCTCGCAGTCCATTGGTGCCGACTTGAGGATGCATGTTTTCCTGAATGATATCTTGAAGAGTTCTACTGCGGTAATTTGAGTGAACCTGATGATGCTGTGAAAAATATTGCTGGGCGGGTACGAGTCTTTTGAAGGCAGGTTGGCGTCCAGGGTTTGTTGTCTACACGGCACTTTCGCCTTTCGCGAGGAAAGAGAGCATCAACACCGTCCCAGCAGCACGCTGTCATTGCAGTTCGCTTCAGTTCTGCCGGTCAATGAAGTTCTGGTCGACGTGTAATGTCGCAGAACAGTTGGATCTAGCAGCTAGCTCTTTCCGTCATCTCATGCAATGACTCGACCAAATGTGCAGTGTATGGCTTTCGACGTTATGTGAACACTCAGGTTTGGCAATGACAGTGGATGCCGCCATCAACGTCGCACCGGCAGAGGGGTCATGGCGTCATAGCGGGTGAGATGCAAGCGTGGCATAATACACCACAACGTACTAGACTGCACCACAACATACTAGACTGTCAGTAATATGGCAGAACATACTATCACGTACCGTAGCACGCTATATAGTATACCGAGATTTGCGTCTTCCGACAAATTATTGTTTGTGGTTGTGGCTCTTGTTCGGCTGCAGATCTGACATGGAAGGATCGACCACTACACTCACCCACGTCGAGTTTCGAAAGTCAGGGTACTACCTACCGATGCTGCTTCGTTTGGGTCCGAATGCAGGCAGCCTTGCCGGCACTTCAGGCACAGCCGCAACTGTGGCTATTTGCTTCCCCATCCCACATGCCACAGTACCAGCATGGTACGACCGCTTGAACAAACCCCTTCTGCTCCGTCAAGCAAAGCATTTAGCTTGACATCCGGCAAGGCTGTCCCCATCGGTCCATTTACTTCTGAATCTCCAGTACATACAATGGCACCAAAGAATGAATAATATACTACTCTATACTTGCGCGGAAGTTTAGGATATCTCCAGGCAGCAAACCGAACCTGGTTAGGATGGGGCTACATCGGATGTCCACTGCTGGGAGCATTTCAAGACTGCAATCAATATGGGACTCCTTAGTATCACAGAAATGGGAGTTTCCGAAAATTGGGGGTACCATATTTTGGGGTCCTTATAATAAGGATCCTACTATTTAGGGTACTATATTAGGATCCCCTATTTTCGGAAACCCCCAAATAGGGTCCCGTCCTATGCGGCCCTAGAATCTGAGGGTCTTACTATGCCTTGCTTTGTTGGGGTGCCTTGTTTTCTGAAGCAAGGCTGGCAACAGCGGGGGGCCCGTGGTCGATCCGCTGACTGGGCGTATGCCTCTTGTCTTGCATACTGATTACTGCCTTTATCCCAACGAGCTGCGCCCTTCGTGCTCCATAATTATGAGCGAAAGTTCTGCTTGTTCTGATTCTTCTTCATGTGCAGGCTTTAGTCGTACTGAATGCAGCATGAGTGTAGCTGATAGTTGTGTTTTGGTATGCCTACAGCTTATTATGTACAGGTTTTACCCAGACGCTCCGTCATCTGTGGGGGTTGTAGGTCCTTTATTGTTTCTGCATCGCATGCGACTTCAAGTTTATTTTAGGACCTGCATACTTATTAAGACTTAGTAACACTATGCCTTAGGGTGCCTTCATCGAATGAGACTACAATTCTCATTTGCCCAACGATGACACTAATTGCGCCTCAGTCAAGTAGCCTGCGACGAGGCAGATAGAAGCCGCGACGCACCAGCCTCCGAAAGTCTCAGCCGTGAAGCGTGTAGCCCTCTCTTGTCACTTCAGTCGTAGGACGCCCATCAATCGAAATCGCATACGACACAAGTCTGACACTGATCTAGCTTAAACCCCCAAGCCCTAAACCCACCTACACATCCTACATCCAAAATTGGCGAGCATCCTAGGACCGGGGTTGCCCACCAAAAGGCAGGTCTGCTCCGTTCTGTCGAGGGTTTCTTCAGGTTTAGGGATATGTCATGAGTTATAAGTTATGGGGTCATTTGTGGATTCAAACGTCCGTATGAGTTTTTATTCGGCTTTTGGGCTTCAAAAAACTTTGGGTGCTTGTTTTGGGGTTTTAAGTATGACTTCTGGAGAAGAATTCGAAAGGAATCTCTGCAATTGTTTTTAATTTGAACCTCAGAGTTTGAGGAAGATTGTTTTCCTGAAGACGTTGTGCCTCCCAGGTCCTTGCGATTACTTGTGCCATGCTTACCTTCTGAAGAAGTGGACTGTGCGGTCAGGATTACCTTGAAGTGAATGGACATAATCGTATATAAGACCCTAAACCTAAACCCTAAACCCTTTTTGAGCTCCGCAGCCCGAAACCCTGGGCAGTGGAGAGTTGACATCCGACTGGCTGTCTCAAGCTTTCATGCAGTGGGAATGTCGGAAACCTCGCTGTTTGGGCATGGCAATGTGGGTTCATGTCGGAGTAGATGGTTTCGCAGGTAGCACAGCATGTGTATGTATGTATATATATATATATATATATTATAATATATTGCAGTATCTTATAGTAGCTAGTATACTACAGTATATCATAGTTGAGATGGGCAGCCGGATGCCCGAGGCGGTGGACACACTTACTCTGCGATATGCTTGGTGTGAAATTTTGAAAAATAATGATAACGCGCATGACCGTGCCACGGTAGATTCAGGAGGTCCGACCGGCACACTTCAACACAAGTTGCCGTACCCATATTGGCTCATAGACGTTCAGCATGTCGAACCGCGAAGACACGCAGCCGGAAACGTGTCTGAGCCGATCCGATGCAAGCTACTATGCGAAGATCACAGGCAATGAGTTTCTTCTCAATCCCGAGATGCAGTAACGAACAGAAACCTAAGCCTCCTAAAGCGGCTGTGGCTCAAGCCCACTCGAGCACCGATCTGCATTCGTTGTCACTCGTTGTCGATATAATAAAGCGCAGCGAGTCCTCCATTGAGGAACCCCAGCCCGGGAATGGCACCGCCGGCTGCTGTTGGCGGATGCTGCACCAGCGGGAGTCTCTAGGCTAGGCAAGCTGGACTATCTGCGGAGCCGCAGCAAGCTTTCCTTCTCGGGCCACTGATGGGAGTAAGCACAGGCCGATTTGTCTGAAGCCAAGATGCTGATGGTGTGAAGCTCCCAAATGCCCCTGTAGTTTGAAATATAACTTTGTGCTCCACATCCATCACACCCAAGACAAAGGCAGCGCAAAGGTGCTGCCAATCTGTGTACAGATCGTGTACAGTCAGTGTACAGGGCTGGTGCCAAGCGTTGCAGGGCAATATGTAAGAAGAGCCATCAAGACATGGATTTGGGGAACAGCAGAGCAATAACATAAGAACGCTCGCAATAGTACTCAGACACAGAAGCCGGCAGCAGTACAAGGACCTGCGTGCCTTTGCAGTTTTTAGCTACGACGGCAAAGCTCTAAGCCCTGTCTTCCGAGAGCGAGTGCCGAAAATGTCAACCGCGGGATCGAATCAAAGGGTTTGAGTACGAAAGGTTACAAGTGCGGCCTTGATAAGAAGCATGTATAAACTTTGCGGCTCTTGCCTGTTCGCTTCGTGGGTTTTGTTTTCCAATGTTTGCCGCTTGGCTTCGAAGGGAGGCAGAGACAAGAGGAGCCATTTGTGAGGTATACGGTATACGTTGAAGCTTAAGCTTTACGAAGTCGCCCGCATTGTCAAACATAGCCGTAAATTCCGATCTCGGCCTTTCACCGAACATGAAATCTGTTCAATCTGAAGTTCTACAATTCAGCTGTTTTGCCGAAGCCCTAAGCTAAGAAAAGTCTGCCACCACAGCCACTTGCTGTAATCTGACTACATCGATGCCGCTGTTGTGGCCTGATTGCCGCTGTCAATTGTACCTTGCAGGTGGTGGCAGTTGGAATTGAAAATCAGGGTCATGCCGTGCCTCCCTGCATGGCCCTCGGTCAAGAAGCGGGGCGTTCAACAGGTAGTCACGGGTTCTCACAGCAGACATGGAGCAAAGGTTTCAGTGGCATGGTAAAAATCGTGGACCGTTACGCAGGGTTGCCGTGGTTGTGTCTTTCGTATGGGGGCTTCGTCAAACAGTTCGTGATGGCTAGTTTAATGTCTGCTACATCTTCGCGAAATCTCAGCTGATCTGTGCTAGAGCAGCAGCAGCAGCAACAGCAGCGGTAATTCGAAGAGCTGGTCTCCGAACATCTTCTTGGACAAGGCAGTCTAAAGCCCTGCTTGGAAGAACTTGCGGGGTTTGGGGGCACCTATATTAGGGTTTAGAGTTTAGGGTTTAGGGTCGTGACGTTGCAAGCCAGTTGCAAAAGGGTAGTGATCGACCAAGTCACCTTCAGCCTCCTTGGCCTAAATTTTCATTGTCCCTCATAGTCAGAAAAGGGCTTGGGCTACGGTCTAGTATACTTGAACAGGAACTACAGGAGGTGACCATGCATCGCCATGTATTCCGACCCTGGATCACTACAATCCCTCTAGAAGACTTGGGTGGTTGTCAAAATTATGGTCCCTTTTTGGGTCCGTAATATAATACGGCACCTAATATTTAGGGTACCCAGAAAGGGACCCTAATTTTGACAACCACCCACTTGAAGACCAAGGCCTCCCTGAGCCTAGGAACGACGGCTTCGCAGGCTTCGTGTCCTGAACTAACTCCCCAAGAAGCCGGCTGGCTGTACGAGATGGTGCCATGCTCTATGCCTCTATACCTATTACCTTAAACCCTATTATAAACCCTAAACCCTGAAGCATTCTGAAACCTGCAGCCCAAAGCAAAGACCCCCAGACTGCCGAGCGTTTCTCGCTAATCCGTGGCGACTGAGAGTTGGAGCCGGACCCCTGAGTTCTTTCGTGCTATGAACACATGCAGTTCTCGACTTTATCTTGCATGTAAACTTTATTGATATGAAATGTGTGTTTGCTCGTCTCACTGCCACGGAGAAGCTCAAATTTGAGCCCGGGAAGCCAACAAAACACAGAGCGTACAAGACGTGAAAGGAGAAGAGCCCTTGTAACAGTCTTTACAAGCCAGTCGAGTGAAAGCCCGCAGCAAAAAAATGTACTGTCCTCGTACCGCTTGTAAACCCTAAACCCAAATCTTTCGATTCTCGCGATCTTAAATCCTAGGTCCCCCAAAGCCTGCCGGAACACACCTCCAGACCCACCCCAAACCCCGGAACTAGTGACGGAATCTAGAGCGAGATACTATAGAAGCCTGCATAAATATGCAATACGATGGGTTTTGTAGGGTTCCCTATTGTAAACATGCTAGAATATTTTATGCTGCCGGAGTCTATTCGAGTCATACAGGCCCCTGTATTAGCCTTTTTCTCCCCAAGCGATGCTCAGGTTTGATCTGGTTTTGATCCCAGCATTCCAGGAGTCCAGGAGTTGATGTTCCAGGGTTTAGGGTTTAGGCTGGCATGAC